CCCCCCCCGCCCCCCCCCCCCTCCCCAAATCAGTTTCTAAAGCTTCAACTCTTTTGTTTATCTAAAGTAAAACTGTAGCTTTAAATTGTTTAAAGACAGTGATAGTTTCAGAAAATCAATTCAAGATGTTTCTGTGCAAGAAGTTCAAGAGGAATTAGATGAGAAATTTTCCCAAACAGCATCCTGCACAAATTTCCTGAGTATTTTTATTTGAAATTGGAATATTACAAAGATTGAGTACATTTTTTAGCAAAATTAAATTGGGGTGGCCAAGCCTATTGTGCCAGAGTAAGAAAAGTGAGAGTGTGTGTTTACTTTCCAGTTGAATTTTCTATGGGATTTACAGAGACTGAGTTAACTGCTGCAAGGCAGCAAGTTGGAAAAAGCAGGTGAAATTCAAAATTAACATTGTTTTCCTTAGTGAATTGAATGAAACGATCTAGATCCTTGCTGATTGAGATAACTAATAACAATTTATTTAAGTGAAGATTGATATGCCGGTGGAACCAAAAGAGTGGACAAGAAAAACCTTGTCCATAACCAAGGAAAACAAGTTCTGGGTCGCTCAGGGGAGCCTCATGAGTCAAGCATTATGGGTTGGCAGTCATGTGATGAGAAACACCAGAGCCAATGTACCGATTTTGAGATTGTTGTTGTGCAGCCTAAGCAATAAAAGTCTGAGGACTAGGAAGGAGACCAGAAGCAGTACGGGATGGATCCGCACCAGTCAAGTGGACTTGGTACGGAGCAAGCCTGGATGAAATGTTATTGAGTGAGCAAAGAGGTCTGTGGAGTGTAGGCAGGGTTAAACCTGCGGTAACCGACAAAGTCCTAGTGCCCAAATTTGTAGCAAACTTGGCATTGAGCTGTGTATCTGCCTCCACAAACACCACCTGAACCAGAACTGCCACCATGAGATTTAGAGCCTTGAAAACATACAACACAAGGCTTAAATTGGGAAGAAGATGCACCCTGTGTGAGATTCAGCTGCAGTGTCAGTGATGAACTAGGGTTTTGCAGAGGATCAGCTTGTGCGAGATAGAGTATAACAGATTCCGTAGACCCTGAGCTTCACAATGCAATGTTCATGAAGAATTGCTGGTGATTAGGAGTTACAAGCAATTCAAATTCCATTGATATGCCTTCCAAGATAACATCTAATTGTTCACAAATGGTGACATATTCACCTATAGAGGTCAGAAAATCAACCAATGCTTTGATTCACATGAGGAACTCATCAAAATTGGCAAATAAACTCATGATAAGGGGCATGTTAGAGATTAATAAAATCCATTCATGTGTCTTCACCCAACAGCTTAAGCTTTGGGGATAGTTTGTTCATGACATGTTATTTTTTAAATTTCCAAAGTTTTGGGAGATTAAATATTCAACAGTTTGCCTGATTTAACTCAAATAAACCTGGTCCTTTCTAGCCTATATTAGTCCAGTCCAGGCTAGTCCAGCCAGTCCAATTGACAATGATAAATGAATAACCAGACAACAAAAAAGAAATCCAACTACCAGAGTACATCATGCAAAAAAGTTGGTGAAAAGACGCAGATATCAAAATTAAAGCAGAGACAATCTGATAGGATCAGCAAAGTTTGAAATCTCACAGTTCCAAGCGTTAGAAGACTTTTATTGATGTAAGATCCTTCTCTCCTTCTCATGCCAGTTGTTTCAGCCCTTGAGCTCTCAGAACCTGCCAGATCGATGAGGTTCTGCATATATAAGTAAAATAATTTTAAGAAAAAATGTAAGTAACAATGGCAAAATGTAAAGCATGAATAATGTATAATAAAATCATTACCCAAATTAAATCTGGAAATAGATCATGTGTAAAGAAAAGTGGAAAAACATTCTAAAACACAATTCAATAATTACCAGTTGAGACAGTGTTACTGCTTCACCTTCACTATTTTCACCACATGGACTACTCTCTATAGTCTATCACAAGATAGTCAAAAGTTAGAAAACAACACAATTATATCATATCATAAACATAAAACTCTTAGCGCACACACAAAAAAAAAAAAAAAAAAAATAGTCCTAATTATATGAAGAAAAAAAAATTAAGAATAAGGGGCATTCTAAAGAAGCTTTGGATGAAAGATGGTTATCAAGAGTTTCTCCATGGTAACTCAACTAGGTGTGTGTGCAGGAATGAATTACTAATTACAGGGCTGTGGTACATGCTTATTACATATAAGTGCATAAAAGTATGTATCAAGATATGAACACAAATAAAATAAGTATAAACATCAATATAGTTAGGCATAATATAAGAAACATGATGCCGATTCAATAAAATTATTCTTCCTTTAAGGTTGTGTAAACCCACCAGGGAAAATATTGTATGGCTCCTGCTGCTCAGTAGGTTGAAGCTTGTGGACCCAACATGTCTGTGCTCTGTTTTCAAATTAAAATTTTGACAAATAGTGAAAGCAGAAAATTAAATAACATAACTCAGCATTTGGGCACCAAGTAGTGCTGTGGAGAAATCCAATTCCCACGATCATCAAAAGAACAGGCCAAACAGATTTATTTAGGATTTACTAACCTCCCACCCATATGCATGATATGTGCTGTATACAACCACTTTGTGAGAATATCATATTAAAAATTGTCCATCAAAATATGCTTAGTATTTTAAATGCTTAATAAATTTCCCATAGAAAAATTCCAAACAAAGTGATAGGAACTGAATTTACTATGGAATTAATAGAGAAGATTCCAGAGAAGAGTTCTGGTTACAAAGGGAAAATGCAATAGATAGAGAACTAGGAATAAAAAAATTATAGAAGAAAAACTTATCTGCCCATCTGCAAGGGCCACCCAAAACTACCCCGTTGATTACCTACCTCTCATTTTTCCCCTCTTCCCATAAATCGCCACTCAGCCTTGAACTTTACTTCAATGATTCCCACACTTCTTCCCACATATGCAAGTTTGGTACAACATAAGTAAGTCCCTCTTTTTCCCTAC